GGCGGCGTCCAAAGCGGCAGCGAAGTTGGCCGTCAGGATGGACTACGCGGGCAGTCGTCAACCAACCATTGTTCCAAGTCCTGATCGCGGCCATGGCCCAACTCTGCGGGGGGGGGTGCGCGAGCTTCCGACCCCCCCCCCCAGTGCACACGGTGTAGGAGAGGCTCGTAGTCACACAATACCGTCTTCAGGTATTTTTCGATGGCTCGGCTCAGCGCGCGTTCGGAAGCGAGAGGACCAGACAGAGTGGCAGCCGCCGCGCGTCGAGGCCGAGGTCGTCGACCAGTGCAAGTTAGCTCGCCGTAGAGAGAAGTCCGAGCGGTCACCGCGCAGCCGTCGGCCGGTCGATGCAGCGCGCCGTCGAGGTTCTCGACGAAAGCTGGCGCCTTCCAAAACTTAGGATGCTAGCGAGTCCGATCAATGGCAGAGAGTGGTACTTCATCAAAGCGCTCTTCAACAACGCCTTGCCGCCAGCTCATCACCGCGTCCCTCAGCAAGTCGAGGTAGGCCGAGAAGTCGCGGAAGGGGGCGGCAGCAACTCGGAGCAGGGCAGCAGAGGCGCGCGTAGCCCACGAGGGCAATCGTGGCCCGCCCCAACACTGGAGCTCGGGGATTGCTTCCTTGCTAAGCATGCCGAGCGGGCGCCGCGAGACCTGCGAGACGACGCCCCTCCCGAGCGCGAAAAAATCTGGTGGCGTCGGGACAAACTGGGCCACGTAGGTTAGAAAATAATGAATACGTGTACGGTGCAGAAAAGAATCGACGCTGCTGACCGAACCTGATCGGCTGAGCACGCGGCTTCTTCTGCGGACTTTGGCGAGGGGGTCACGCCAGCACCGTTCTACGGTGGCGCTGGGCCCGAGCCAGATGCCGAGATAAAGCATGCATCCTTCAATGCCGAACCCTACCCATTCAGGAACATATTCGCCCAGGAGGGCGCGCACCTCGCCCCGGAGAGCCTCAGAAATCGAGCCCACTAGCACCACAGTGCACTGACTAATCTTACTAGAGAGCCCGCAACCAACTGCATAATCTCAAGGACCTCAAAGACGATCTGAACATGCGCAAACTCGAACAAGACCACCCCAAAATCGTCAGCACACGCACGCCCCAGTCCTTCCTCAACCTCCTCCAAGTTCTCTTCGAGGTCCTGGGGCAACGGTGCAGAGGCAAGTGCGCGCAGGGACCCCGAGAGCCCGCGCCCTTGAATCATCCCAGATCTGAGCCAGAAAATTCCCAGAATAACGCCCCCATCAGAAACAACCTTTTGACCAGCTTCGCACCGGAACCCGATGAAGGAGAGGGGCGCCTCGCAGAGGCCCATGGCGCCCAGGGGCTGCATGGGGAAGGCCTGGGGGGGGGGGCTGGGGGAGGCTTGGCCGTAGTCGAAGCCGAGCAGAATCGGGGATGTTCCGAGCTAGAAGATGCTGAAACCAAAGTTGCGACCCGTAATAAAACCCCGTTGTGATGCTGGGGCCACGAAGTCCACCGCAGGCTTTCATCTGATATTCACACCCGAGCTCAAAATCTTCATGCCAGCATTCCGAATACCCGGCGCCCGAACGCGATCAGGGGACCTCTCACAAGCCCCGCCCGCCGCGTCAGACGCCTCGGAGCTCTTTGGGGGGAAGGCCAGCAGGGGGCGCTGGCAGCGCCGAACAGAGCCTGACCCCGACATAACCAGTTAAACATAATGGCCAATAACTGGGTGCCAAAGTCGATCGCATCCCACACCGCATGCGGCAACCCGCCCACGCCAGGCGTCGAGTGCTTAGCCCGCTTCGCTACATTCCCGGGGAGCTCGACCCGCAGCTCGAAGCAAGCGCGGGCGCGCCAGATAGCGCCGGGGCAGATCATGTAGGCGGCGCCCAAAGCGGCAGCGCAGTAGGCCGTCAGGATGGACTACGCGGGCAGTCGTCAACCAACCATTGTTCCAAGTCCTGATCGCGGCCATGGCCCAGCTCTGCGGGGGGAGGTGCATGAGCTTCCGAATCTCCCCTCAGTGGACACGGCGCAGGAAGGGCTCGCAGTCGCACAATACCGTGCTCAGGTATTTTTCGCTGGCTCGGCCTAGCGCGCGCTCGGAAGCGAGAAGACCAGAAAGAGTGGCAGCGACCGCGCGTCGAGGCCGAGGTCGTCGATCAGTGCAGGTTAGCTCACCGTAGAGAGAAATCCGAGCGGTCACCGCCCAGCCGTCGGTCGATTGATGCAGCGCGCCGTCGAGGTTCTCAACGAAAGCGGGCGCCTTCCGAAACTTAGGATGCAAGCGGGCCCGATGAGTAGCAGAGAGTGGCACTTCATCAAAGCGTCCGTCAACGCCGCCTTGCCGCCAGCTCATCACCCTGGCCCTCCGCAAGTCGAGGTGGGCCGAGAAGTCGCGGAAGGGGGCGGCAGCAGCTCGAAGCAGGGCAGCAGAGGCACGCGTAGCCCATGAGGGCAATCGTGGCCCGCCCCGACACTGGAGCTCGGGGATTGCTTCGTTGCTCAACATGCCGGGCGGGCACCGCAAGACCTGCGAGACGACGCCCCTTTCAAGCGTGAGGAAATCTGGCGGCATCGGGGCATGCCGGGCCGCGTAGGTTGAAAACGAACGCGCGCGGCACAGAGACGAATTGGCGCTGCTGGCAGCGCCTGAGAGGCTGAGCGCGCGGCTTCTCGTGCGGACTTTGGCGAGGGGGCCGCGCCGGCACCGTTCTACGGCGGCGCTGGGCCCGACCCTGGCGCCGGGATGAAGCATGCACCCTTCAATGCCGAACCCTGCCCATTCAGGAACATATTCGCCCAGGAGGACACGAACCTCGCCTCGGAGAGCCTCGGACATCGAGCCCACTGGTACCACAGTGCACCCACTGATCTTAATAGAGAGCCCCGCAATCAACTACATAATTTTAAAGACCTCAAATACGATCTGAACACGCGCAAACTCGAACAAGACCACCCCCATCTCGTCAGCACACGCGCGCCCCAGGCCTTTCCCCACCTCCTCCAAGTTCCCCTCTAGGTCCTGGAGCATCGGTGCAGAGGCAAGTGCACGCAGCGACCCCGAGAGCCCACGTCTTTGAATAACCCCAGATCTGAACCAGAAAACTTGCAGTGGAACGCCCCCCATCAGCAACAACCCCTTGAACAGCTTCGCACAGGAGGCCGATGAAGGAGAGGGGCGCTCACAGAGGCCTGGCCGCGGTCGAAACCGAGCAGAATCGGGAATGTTCCGAGCTAGAGGATGCTGAGATGCGGCGCGACCCAGGGCATCTGTTCAATAGTATTATAACACAGGTTGCGACCCGCAATAAAAAACCCGCTGGGATGCTGGGGCCACAAAGTCCACCGCAGGCTCTAGTATGATATGCGCGACCGAGCTCCACATCTCCATGTCAGCATTCCGAAGACCTAGCACCCGAACGCGATCAGGGGACTTCTCACAAGCCCCACCCGCCGTATCAGAGGCCTCGGATCCCTTGGGGGGGAAGGCCTGCAGGGCGACGCCGGCGGCGTCGAGCAGAGCCTGGCCCCGACATAACCAGTCAAACATAATGGCCAACAGCTGGGGGCCAAAGTCGATCGCATCCCACGCCGCATGCGGCGGCCCACCCGCGCCAGGCGTCGAGTGCTTAGCCCGCTTCGCTACTTTCCTGACGAGCGGGGCCAACGGGGCGTCCACCGGGAGAGCCTTCCTAGACTTCAGACATCGATCCATATATGCCTGCGCCAACAGCGCAGGCGGCCAATAAACGCGCAGCGTTTGACGCCGACCCTCGGGGGGCGAGACGGGCCCTTCATTCAGGGCCAGCAACAACAGAAAACACCAGACGCTTCGAGAACGGAGCCCAGATCGCAGCCTTCCGCTCGATAGCTCGTGACGGCGCAGCAGAACATGCCCCTCTGGAAGCAGCGGCCAGGGATGAGGAAGCAGACGCAGCAGCAGCGAGTTCTTCTTCGAGAACAGCCCCATGCACCCCCTCCGTCCACTGCCGGGAGGTGGGCGCATGACGTAGAAGGACAGAACGACCTTCCACCCGCAGAGCGTCTTGCGCGTGCACAGAAGCGTCGAGAAGCCGCCGAGCTAGCCCGACATCTCGTCGCCAGACCGCTCCAGAAACACTGCGAGTGAGTAGTTGGAGTCTCCGCAGCCTCAGCCACTGCTTTCAAAATTTGACAGTTTCAGGCCTGGCAGAAGAGCGCGTCCCGAGTCTCCCTCGCCGCCTCCCTCATCATCTCCTTGCAGCGCTCGCTCGAAATAGGCGGGTTCCACGAGAGAAGATCACCGTCGCCGTCCTTCAGCATGCCCTGAAGTCGCCTCCTGAAGAAGGGGCTCTGGAAGATGTGCTTCGGGATGGGGCGTTCTTGCGGCGGCAGTGCTGCGCGCTGGCGCAGCGCGACCGAGACCGCGGCGTAGTCCGACGCCACTTTGCCGCTCAGGCTCCCCGGCGAGTCGATCGCCCCCGCCGAGACCGTCTGCTGACGCGCGTCCCAGCCAGCCGCCGAGCAGAAGAAGCGGTCGACACTGCTCGCAGAGTTGGTGCGCTTGCAGAAGTGGGAGGGGGAGTCCTAGCAGACGACCTCCATCATTTCCCCTCGCGTCTTGGACCATGCCGGCGCGTGAACTTCGCGACCGCGAGTGGCCTGGGCCCTGGAAGTCTCAGGCCCGTGAAAATCATCGCCGCATCGATGCTAAAATTGAAGTCCCCCAGGACAACGACGAATGGCGAGAGAGGATTGTCCCGGGCCTGGCGGCTGGCACCCCTGATCTGCTCGCAGACCGCGGTGACCTCCTGCTTGGACAGGCCGTGGTTATGAACATTGAAAATCACCATCTGCACCTCGTTGAGCACCGCGTGAACGCGCAGCACTCGCCCTGGAATCATCTCCAGCGCCGAGCTGGAGACCGCCTCCAAGGCAAGAGGCGGCATAATGAATGCTACTCCACCTGCTCCGCGATCCCCGCGATCACGAAAGCTACAGTGAGCAATCGCATCGGGGCGGACCTTGCGCACGCAGTCCAATAATTGAGGACGGTCGCCGAGAACTTCCTGCAGTCCCACAATGCTGCAGCCCGTCGCGCAGCGTCCGAGATATCCTAACTTCGCCTGGCCTTTGGCCCCGCCGCAATGAAGAAGAGCCCGAGCATTCCAGGTGGTGAAATTCAAAACTGAGCCGCCGATCATCGCAGGCAACATGAGGAAGTCCGCGAAGCCGCCAAAGGCACGGCCGCGCCAGGGGCGCAGGGGCCGGGCAGGGGCTGACGGCGCCGGCCAGGGGGCGACGATCGAGGCCCAGCGCCGCGATGCCAACGTCGTTCCAGTCGGCCGTGATGGGCTCGTCGCCTGGGTGGGCCTCCACCTAGAGCACGTCCGCGAAGTCAGCCTTGAGGACGCCCCTCTCGCGGCCCACGAACCAGCGGCGCTGGGGGAAGGTGTCGCCGTAGATGTTGCGGATCTTACGCGGGAAGATCTTGGCGCGCACTTGCTTGGGGCTCTTGTCAGGGCCGAGGCGCAGACGAGCAGGATCGGCCCCCTGGGCCGCAGGGCGGAACTCCCTCTACTGGCCGCCACGCCGCAAGTTGCCCAGGACGCGCTGGACGTCGCGGGGGGCCGAGCCCGCGGCGCCCTTGAAGGCGATCGAGAACTCCTTGGCTGGCAGGGGGGCGAGCGCGTTGATGTCGTAGTCATCCTCGCTGAAGTCCATCTCCGAGAGGAAGGTGCCGATCTCATCGTGGACGCCTTGGAGCCCTACCATCTTCGCCGCCGCCGCCGCAACCTGGGCCGGGCCCACCTCGCGATCAAAACCAGGGGAGATGAACGGCTTCGCGGGGGCAGCCATGTCCAGCGCAACCTGCTTGCGCATGTCGGTGATCTCCTTCTGCAGCGCCAAGATCTGTCGCTCGTGTTCTCCAAGGGTATGCGACTCCGAGACTCGTTTGGTGATCGCATCTTGCTGCATCTGGAACCTCCTGGCGAGCTGGTCCAGCTGGGGGCGCATCGTAGACGTGATCTCCTGGTCAACGACCTGTGTCTGCCCTGCAATCCGTTGGCGCAGCGCGCCCAGTGTCTTGAAGATCGGGCCATTGGCAGCCTGGGGGGAAGAGGCGACGGCAGTCTTGACCGTGCCATCGAAGTTGCCCCGCAGGGCGGTGAATCGCGCCTCGATGTCGGCCTGATAGTAATGAATGTTGAAGTCGGGGCTGTCGCCCACGCCGTCGTCGCCACCGATGCGGCACTCCCGCGGCCCTGCAGTGGCCGCAGCCGCAGCGCGAGCAGACCCGCCAGCACGCGGAGGAAGGTGCCGCCAGCTGCTTCGCCAGGAAGCGTCGGGGGGATGGCGTCTGCCTGCAAGATGCTGGCTTGCTGGCTGGCAGAGAGGATCGGCCCCGCTGCAGGCGCCCCCGCCCCCGCGGCAGGCGCACCGGGGGCCGCCCCGCGATGCGATGCTGGAGCAGGAGGGCGGCGATCATCTCCAGGGCGAACGTGCTATCCACTGGCGCGCTTGGATCTCCCAGCTCGGCTGGCCCCCCCGCCCTCTGCGCGGAAACGGCCGCGGCGCGCAGCGCCCGCCGCGCTGTCGTCGCTGCGGGGGGCCGCGCGGGCAGGAGAGGCGCGGCGACCGCCGTCGGACATCGGGGCAGAGGGGCGCCGGAGAACCCGCGCAGCGCTGGCTGAGAGGAACGACGGGAGCAAACGACGCGGCACTACCCTGGCCAAGCGGCACCCCATTGTCTCCCCGGGGAAACTTGCATCTCGAGCCAAAATGGCTACGGAGGAGGAGGGGGAGGAGGAGGAGGAGGAGGACAACAAAAAAAAGAGAGACGATGGCGGGGCCTCCTCGCTCTTTCCCCACCATTGGCCAGGCGTCTCCGAAGCGCCCGGCAACTCCCCCCTCGTCTCCGTCGCCCCGCCCTTTCGCCTCCACCCTCTCTTTCCAAGCAGGGGGGTGGAAGGGGGGGCAGGCGGCGCCTCTGTCGAGCCCTGGGTTCTCTGGAACCGCCTGCCCCTCCCCGAGTCAATCGCAGGGCGGGCGTTTGCGCCTGGGTCCCCGGCGACGCCTTCCACGCGCGCGTCATCCGCGAAGGCGTTCAATGCTGTCGGATGGCCCCGAGCGCCATCGGTTTGCGCGCGTGCGTTCATCGCGCGCTGCTTTGGAAGGAGTAAGGGCGTGGTGTGAACGGGTGCGGTGCCAGCGCTGGACATAGCGATGTGGCAGAGAATACGCAAGTGCTTGACGTGCAGATATCACCCACGTTGGCCTGGCGATGATCGCGTCGAACATCGTCTGATTCCGCATCTCCTCAACGGCCGCACTCAATGTTAAACAACGATGCCAATTTCCCCCCCCCCCCCCCCCCCCAATTGTCCGATCGCAAACACCGCGACCCAAATCTCGAATCGCAAACAGACAGAATCCAGAAAGTCCGACTCGCAAACATAATGATTCCTGACACATGATTCCAGACATTCCGACACGTTGATCTAATATCGTTACGCGTGCAAACCAGAATTCCGGAACTTCGGGAACGACGTCCCTGAAATTCCCAAATCGCACAAACATGCGAAATTCCGAAATCACAAACGTGAGTTCCAGAAATTCCGACAATTCCAAAATCGCGCGCCTGGCGACCAGGCGCCCTGGAATTGGCAGCGCGCTGCCTTTCGGATTGGACGGGCCTTGCTTGGGAGAGCCGGAACCTGAAAGACTGGCGTCGGTTGATGCGGTCGTCGCAAAACCAACGTGGTTGACATCGGCATGTGAGGTAATTGCGGACGTCGTCGGTAACGTCGCCATTTCCAGCGCTGGCACCCCACCCCTTGACACCGCGCCCCCCTCGCCCACTGGAACTACGGGCGCGCGCAGAAGTACTGGCGCAGTCGGGTCCACCGGGAAAGCGCGGGCAGATCTCGCACGCGCAAGCGCGAGCCATGGTTCCATCATCATGGCCGCTCTCGTTCCTGGCGTCTTCCCCATCCGCATCTTTTCCCGCCGTGGACCATGGGCAGCGTTGTCGTGCCAAGACCCATGGTCATGTTCATCATCATCGCCATTGGTTAAAGTCCTTAGCCTGCTGTTGCTGGTGATGCAGGGCGTCCAAGTTGCGCGTCGCTAGCATCGTCTGCGCCGGCAGCAACAGTATCTTTCCCAGTCGAATCAGAATCCTCTTTCTCAGCTCATCATCGTCGCATCATCGTCATCAATCGCATGCAGGCCATCATCATCAGGATGGGGCCTCGCAACGACTAGCGCGTCCGTCGTCGCAACCGTCGTCTCGCCCATCATCCTCATCCTCGAACGCGCCAGGGTTCTAGCGCAACTCGCATGCGACTACAACAAGCCAACTCAAAACACGCACGAACGCAAGCCATGGTCGTTTCCAGCAGTACCCCACGGCATCATTGCCGTCGCAAACCCCCAAACTCAAAATCCTCAGCCAAAGTAGTTGTCATCATCTTGATGTTCACGTACCCATCTTCGCCATGACTGTCATGACTGTCAAGTGTCGTCAGCTTTTTCGCCGCCATCCTGGCTGGCATTGTGACCTCGCTGCTGCTGGCGGCGCGACGACGTCAAAGCCGCGCGTCGCCATTGTCGCATCCATCCTGCGCGCCCGAATCATCAGCTTCCTACATATATGTATATATATATATATATATATATATATAATGAACCGTCCGTCGCAACCGTGGCCTCGCCCCACGCCGCCCTCGTCGCCGCCGCGGCCATCAGCTTCGCCGTCGTCGTCGTGGGCGGCGCATTCCGAGAGAGGCCCCAGGGGGCATCTTGCCTTCTTGGGGCCCTCTTGCCTGGTGCTCGGCATCGCCCCGACGGCCGCCCTCGCGCTTGCCGCGGCCAGCGCCGTTGCCAGAAGACGTCGTCATCGTCGACGCCGCCGTCGCGGCTGGCATCGTCGGCCCGCCCCTGCCCATGGCTGTCGGGTCTGGGCAGGCCCCCCTCGCCGCGCTAAGCGGGGCCAAACGGCGACGGGCGAACTGCGCGAGCTCCTTCGCTCGAGCACGCACGGACCGATGCGCGGCCATTGTTGTCGCGCGAGGGCGCCTCTCAGCGCGGCCCCGCGGGGCGCCTGCGCAGCGGGGCCCCATCGGCGCCCCGATTGAAGATCCAGCGGCGCGGTCAAGAGAACCAGCGAAACATGCGCATCATCATCTACTGCTCAGCGCTCGCGCCTCGCCAGGGAAACCGGGCGCGACTGCGTTCGTCGGCGAACAAAGAGACCGCTGCGCGACGGGAAGCAGGTGCTCGGCAGCGGTTCAGGGGGCGCCCGCCCCGACCGGGGCGCCAATGACAATGTCGTTCCGATCGCAGTCGGGCGAGGCGCGCGACTGGGCGTCTCCCGCGCGCGCCGCGCGCCACTGGGAAGATGCGTCGAGGCGCGAATGCGCGACCCCGGCGCTGGGCGCTTGCGCTGCGAAGAAGGTCAATGCACGAACGAATCTACATCCCCTGTGACCCTTCATCGCTGCGGTCTAGATCGCGGCCCGCATGGCGCGGCCAATTCAATTTCTGCGGCCCCCGCGGGGCCGGCCTCCGCGACCCCGCCTAGGCGCCTTTCCACTGGGGAATCGGTGACGCGCCGAGGAGTCGCCGGGCGGCAGCCGCCGCGCCGCGCCTGCCAAGCAGCCGCGAGGCGACGAGCTCCCAGGCCGCGAATTGGGCGCCATGGGGGGCAGTTGCGCGAGTGTAGAGCGGAGTGGGCATGGAGCGACGATGGCACGTGCAATTTTCGCGTTTTCCAGCTTGGCGGCCATGGGGCGCGCGCGTCTAAAGGGAGCCCAAAGACCAGGCCTGCGCTATGATCGCGGGGGCGCCTGCCAGAAGCGGCGCGGTCGACGGCCTTCGCGCGCCGCGTAGATCGCGGAAGGCGCCGGTCAGCTGGCCAGGGGGCGCTGCCGCAAGGGCCAACATGTCTACGACATCTGCATCAACGCTGGCTCCTGCAATTGCTTCCAGTACATGCCAGCTCGCATCGCCGCCTACAAGGAGAGCGCGTACTTTCTCGACTACACGAACGGCTTAGATGTTGCCCCACGCACGTTCGCGAGAGGCACGTGGATCAGGGGCTTCCAGCCAACCCACGAGCGGGACAAAAAACACATCCATCATGCGTCAGTATCCTGCCGCAGCAATCGCGCATTATGCGCGCGTTCGCCGCGCGCTTGTTTTACGCGCGCACTGGTCGCGCGCTCGTCTCGCGCAGATGGCGCATTCATCGCGCGCCAATCGCGCCGCACTTGCACGCTCATCCCCCACTAATCGCGCGCGAATCGCAGGCCCGGCGAGAGCGGGGGCCTGCGCTGAGAGCGCACTATTTGATGCACGAGTGTTCGATGATCTCTACACATTTCATGGGGTGTTCAAAACAAACCGCGCGTTTTGAAATTGATGCCAGGCGGGGCGCTCCGCCGAACTACATGCCGGTGTGTCGCTCCGCCGAAGCGTCAGTCGGTGTGTCGCTCAGCGGGGCGCTCTGGGGTAAGGCTGGGGGGGCGGTCAGAACGGTCGCCCCCGGGTGGCCCGCGTGTGGACCGGTCTGGGCCCTCCCTCACCACCCCCCACTTCAGCTTGGGGCGGCCCAGCCAGGGTCCCCTGCGGGAATCGCAAGGAAGGGGGCCCCTCGTCTCGGGGCCGCGCGGATCCTGGCGGAGTCCAGCAGGAAAGGTCCGCGGGAGCATCGGGGTGCCTCTGGGAAACCTTTGGGAGGCCTCTGGGTCGCCTCCAAGGAATTTCCGAAGAATCTGGAAGAGGCCGCTGGGGAGCAACCATCTACTCGACTCGGCTTTACTCGACCCACTTTACTGTACCTTGCGCTGCTCCATACCACCCGACATTACTCTCCCATCTACCTTCTCGAATATGATGTTATGTCTTCCGCTGCAACCGACTTTTCTCTACTCCGCTTGACCCTGCTCGACGCTACTCAACTCTAGCAGCACCAGCGGTCTTTGCAGGAGGAGCAGAGGCAACAACAACAACAACAATAACAGCGGTATAACGACTTCAAATAGTACAAACGGTCATACGACGGCAACCTGTAGTGCGAGAGCGACCAATATGCAATGCTGGTCGTA